TTCCTTGGAACTACAAGCTGTTTGTAAGACCTAACTGATTCAGACTTGGTTTGATATTCACGATATACAAATCCGTTCAGCATGAACCATCGTATTGTTGCAGTCCGTTTGTCAACCACTTGTCCGGAACTTGCCCATTGTCGTATTCTCTGCAGTGAGTCATCGGTCTGTTGTTCTAGTTTAATCTCGTCTGGAGTGATGTTTCCCTTAAGTATTTCTGGAACTTTGAGTTGAGGATACTGTTTTAATTTTACCTTTGCTTGTTGACGGGTTTCTACAGCATTTGTCTCTGACCATTCAGGATCAGGATCTCCAGGTGCTCGTACCTTAGCTACATTCCCGATGATTAGTTCGTAGACTGGCTTCTCCATACACCATGCTTCAAATGTTCCTGTAATATAGGGCGTGTCAACAAAGATGGAAGCAACTGGTACACTAATAGATGAACCATCTGCCAAAATACATGTTTGAAACTTATCTTGAATCAAATTTGCTTCATCAATCTTACTTCTTCGAACCACTATGCCGCTAACTGGCTTACCTTCAACAAAACCTGCTGATACTGGCATGTTGTGTTGCAGTTGGTAGCATGATGATGAAACTCTTGTTGATGTATCAAGATTCAAAGAATTGGTTCCAGTGTCTGTTGGCATTGTGCTAACAAAAGTTACCTTTGCTGCATGTTCCTCTGTACTAGCTGAAGTATTATGGCCTTCCTTCTGTTCTTCTGTTGTTACAGCACCGACCTTTGGTTTTGTTCTGCATTCTGCTGCAATGTGCCCTATCCTGTTGCATTTAAAACGTCTTTCCGATTTTGGAACAAATGATTTGTTTGAATTTTGTATTCTCTTCTCACCTGAAAAGTCTTTGTGATTTCCAGAACCAGAAGGAAACTTAACTGGGTGTTGAAATTCATTGCCTTTGACATTGCTGAGGGTCGCAGCGTTGGTCATTCTTGCCTCCCGATACTGGTCTGCTAATTATGCCATCTCCTGTATACTCGTTGGTGTTCTCTCCTTAAGGAACAATGTCAAATCTCTGTTACAAGTATTCAAGAACTGATCACGTATTACTAAATCAAATAATGCCTCAAATGTTTCTGCTATTTTGGCCATTTTCAGCCACCTTAGCAAATAACTACTCATTCTAACAGAAAATTGTACAAATGTCTCACCCGTTTCTTGTTTTGCTGATTTGAACTTGTGTTTAAACCCATCCTCTGTTAGCTCATAACGTTTAAGGAGTGCTATCTTTAGCTTGACATAATCTAAAGCATCATCTGCTGGTAATAATGCATAAAAAATATCGAGAGCCCTACCTTTAAGGAGTGCACTTAGACTCATAGCCCACGACGTTTTTGGCCACTTTTGTAACTCTGCATATCGTTCAAATCTACGTAAATCGCTGTCCATTTCATCCTTCCCATCCTCAAAAGCCGGGATTTTTGGACCTTTGAGCTTACACAAAACACAAAATCATACAGACAAACAATAAAAGACAACTGAAATTAGAAATTTCTCCACATACTAGTCTCTGCACACCTGAGTTTAGTTGCTAGACTATACAAGCACTTTTGTTACTTACGCGATACGCATATACGATGTGAAAACGCTAACTACTTACAGACACACAACTTACTGAAGTGCTGAATTTGGAAGCTTCGTAATATCAGCGTCAACTGCTGACCTCCAGGTTTCGAATAACTAAGTCACCAACTAATCTACAAAACACAGTGAAAACAATTGAATGGAAATTAAACCAGTGATATTTCAACAAAATATGCTTCTTTGATTGATAAAGAAAATTCAATAAAAAATTCAAATTATCAAAGATTGAAATTCAATTGAATTTAAATTATTCAAAAGTCAAAAACACTAATGTTAATTTTGACAATAAAGGCAAACACTAGCACATAAGGAATTCTGTTCAATGTCTTGGGTCAAATCCAACGCATGAAGAAAGGTTTCCCTCAAGAGATCAAAGTTCCCTCAGGCACTGTTTCCAGTTGAACTTCCAGGGTCTTGATTGTCCGTTGGGTTGTCTCTTTGGAGTTGTAGCCCAAACCATTGGAAATTCTGTTGATTTGATCCAAATTGCTCCAGAGATCCTAGACATACCACGTGTCCCAGACATCACAAGTCGAAGAGATTCCACATGTCGTCGTGATACCACTCGTCGACGTTATCGTGCTTGTTGTTTTCCTTTGATCCTACATGTTGAAGAAATCCCACTTGTTTTCCGACAATCCCACTTCTGACACCATTTGTTGCGGGTTCTTTCCCTAGTGATCTCCAAATAATGAAAAACTCAAAGAACGTTTTCACATTTATATAGACAACTTATTGTACATAGTATTCTGGCTCTTGTCTGTCCACACAACGGTAAGTTTCTACATCACATCATACTATGTGCACCATACACTGACACCATACACAAAACGACGTAGAACGTCCAACGGGACCTACATAATACAACAATTGTAAACACATTAAGTTACACAGTTGAATACTCAAAGCTACATACAAGTTATTACCACATAACCCACCATACACGAAAATGGAATAATAATGGGGTCAACATCACAGCGCTGCATTACAGAACTTGTACTAAATGCTTTTACACAATAATTACATTATTTTACATGTAACTTACACTTACACACAGTAACTTTACTTACATAGTTACTTTACTGTTTAGAATCATAATGAAACTAAATACGACAATACTAGAGCCGATACTTTCAATTAACACTACTCACTATAATATCTATAGAACATAAAAACTATACAAACGAACATTCAAACGAATAAACTAAATTTTAAAATACGTTGAAATAACAAAGTTATCCCAGGACCGTTTAATTAACAAAACAGAGAAGAAAATGTAAATAAACATGTTACTCATTTCAGAAGTCAGTGTCTGTAATAACTCTTTAAAACATACTCAGTACTTTAACTTTACAAAACTTGGACAGTAAAAATTGGTCAGTCAGAGCTCGTGCTGTTATATCTTGGAAAAGCTGGTTTCAAGAAGGACGGAAGCCTAAACTCAGGTATATAAATACAGGTAGTGGAGAGGTACCAAAAAGGGTGTTCGAAAAGAGGTGCAGAATGGGAAAACTGAAAGAAATTAAGGAACAACGTTAGAACAAATATCACAGTAAATTTAAGATACAAACAAGACAAATTAACAATACAACACCGTAAATGTGACAATTATGTCAAATGGATCTGCGTCTGCATAAGGTGATATGATTTGCAAATGACGTCATAATAGCCATGCTGACGCCGGGCTACAGAAGTGAAAATTTAATTCGCATTAGTTTACTTCGCATCAGCTGTTGTGTGAACGCAATTTAATTCGCATTAGTTTGATTCACATTAGTTTACTTCGTATTAATTCACTGCGAATTAAACTCTGCGTGTGAACAGGGCATAAATCTATGTCTACATTCTCAAAATCTAAATCTATAATTTCATATCACAATGAAATAGAAATATAAGTAATCACTGTCTAGTTAGTATTGCATGCCAGGGACATCAGCAATAGTGGAAAACATGGGATAATTCAGGCTTTATGCTAAGCGGGCTTTGCCCATTATGCAAATTATCCCAATGCATGTTTCCCACTATTCTTGTTGCTCTGGTATACTATAACAAGAAACCCATGGGCCATATCGCTCATTTCAGAACCCTTGAACATGCTATTGTTAACCAGATTTCCCCCATATAATACTTATTGTGACCCCATATTACCATATTATCAAGACAATTAAAATATACACTACCCCGGGATTTTTCCCTTTTGTGGCCCCGCCCGGCCCCTGGGGGTCATGATTTGAACAATTTAGAATCTACACCACCTCAAGATGCTTCCACATAATTTTCAGCTTTTCTGGCCTATTGGTTCTCTAGAAGAATATTTTTTTTAAAATATATATATATATATATTTCTATGTAAAACATTGAAACCCCATTGTGGCCCCACCCAACACTTGAACAATTTAGAATCTACACTACCATAGGATGCTGCAACATAAGTTTCAGCTTTTCTGGCCCAGTGGTTCTTGAGAAGATTTTTTAATGATTCCATCGATTTTTGTCTTTTCTTGATTATCTCCCCTTGTATGAGCACGTTGCCCTTTATTTTAACAATTAAAGTTCCCCATCCCCCCCCAGGATGCTTTGTGCCAAGTTTGGTTAAAATTGGCCCATCGGTTATTGAAAAGAAGTCAAAAATATGAAAAAATTACAGACAGGCAGACAGCTAGACAGCTGGAAGGATGTACGACGGACAAAATGTGATCAGAAAAGGTCACTTGAGCCTTCGGCTCAGGTGAGCTAAAAACTAATTTAAAACAGTGATTCTTTCAATAAACCCATTTTGTCCATTCAAACATAATAATACTCGAATAAAAAAAAGAGATGCAGGAAAAATTTTCAGAAAAAGGGAACAGAATGTTTTTAAAGGTCTGTTTTGTGCATGACTAACTCAAATTTCTTTATATATAAAGCTGTAATGATGATCTAGTTTTAAGCTTCAAGTTAAAAATTTAAATCACCTGACTACCTGATAACACAAGGAAACCAAGCTGTATACTGATCCAGAAAACTCCTTTCACAAGTTTAAAACGAAAGTAAGAAAAACTGTTGATTTTTATGAAGAATTGACAGGAAATAGTGAGTATAAGATTGAATCTTTCTAAAACTTTTTTCACTATGCATGTTACATGCTGAACCTGTAATCTGATACTTAAGATATTTATTTTATGTACAGCATTGTAAATATCTATTCTAAATTTCTCTGCATACAAAATTTATTAATTTGTGAGTCTGTATGTCTGACTTGCTTACAGTACAACATTACTGAGTGTCTAAATATGTTGTATGCATATGCATCAATATGACAATTAAAAATTCTAAGAAATTCAATGATTGCATCATTACTTTGTACTTTAACCACTTGCAGGTAAAAATGATTTTCTTCTAATCCCAGATAAAAAAAGATATGGCTACCGCCCAGGGACAGGATATCATTTGCTGTCAGTTGTGTCCAAACCCTGTAGAACATCACTGCAATCTTTGCCACGTGGACCTCTGTCCTTCCTGCATAGCAAAACACATGGCTGACAAATCAAGCGAACATGAAGTCGTTGGGTACACTTCTAGGAAAAAACACTCTTTTGTTCTACCACTTTGTCCCTCACACAAGAATAACCGATGCGAGACATACTGTCAAGATTGTGATATACCAATTTGTATTCAGTGTGTAATTGGTTTGCACAAAAAACATGAATTTACTGACATCAGTGATATTTTACAAGAATATAAAAGGCAAATTAATTCTGACGCAGAAGAACTTGAAAGTATAATTCTTCCAAGATACAGAAACATAGACCTTGGTACAACAACTGCTGACTTTGACAAAGTTCTCTCCGCCATTAAAGAACAAGAAGATAAAATTTCCAAAGCTGTACTTAAAAAAAGCACTCAGCTCACAGAAGAAGTAAGCAGTCAAAAGAAAGAAGCTATAAGACAGAACAAAAAAGGCCAATCTTTAGCAGAAAAAGCTGAAAAAGAAGGCAATCAAATTGTTAAAAAAAACAAAGATATTCTTCGATGTTATGATGCCACAACCATATTAAACTATCAATCAAGAAATGTGGATTTCCGAAAAGGCCCAGGATTACCAAGTTTTTCTTGTCCAAAGTTACTCCCTGGTGTTATTAAAGAAAACCAAATTGCAGAAATGTTTGGTTTTCTTCAAACAAATAATGAAGTGCAGAAAAAGCCTGGAATGCTGAAAATGATGGATGAACCTGTGGTGCTATACACCATACAAAGTCCTTATGGACACCATGTTAAGAGTTATGAGGGAATTGTTACTGAGCATCACCTGTGGAGAGTGCAGTGTGTGGGGATGGATATGATCTTGACCAGTGGAGAAGACGCAACAATCAAAGAAATAGACAGGACAGGATCCATTATTAGAACGATTCGTACAAATTCTCAGATCAGAGCATTATCAATTAATTTTCAACAGGAAGCGGTGTTTGCTTCAGCTGGTACAAATGATACAGAAATATACAGTTTTACTACCGGTAAATATGAAGTTAAAGTTTTGTTAAAAACTCCTGACTGGTATTCTGTTGGACTACACTATACAGCAAATGGAGATCTACTGGTGAGCATGCGATCTACGGATATGACACAAAGTAAAGTGGTGAGATATTCGGGTACCACAGAGATTCAGAAGATTCAGTTCAACAGTCAAGGACAACCTCTGTTTTCTACTGGTGATCAGAGTGTGCTTCACCTGACAGAGAATGGTAATGGTGACATCTGTGTTGCTGACAATGCTAGGGGTGCAGTTGTTGTGGTGGATTCTTCTGGGGGATTACGATTCATGTATACAGGCAACCTCTCAAAACAACCAAAGTACGGAGATTTTGAACCATTCCACATTGCTACAGATGTCAATATTCAAATACTGATTAGTGATGAATCAAACAGCATTGTCCATATTATAGACTGTGATGGTAACTTTATCTGCTATATAGAACATCCCTGTAATGGAGGACTCAGTATCGATTCTGATCACAATCTTGTCATTGGAGAAGAAGATACAGGAATCATTCAGATTATCAAATATCTAGAGTGATGAACAGTTTGAATGATTACTTTCAAGACAGTGTGTCATCATTTCCTTTGAAAGTATATAGTTTAACTTTGTGACAAAAAACAGTCAAGCATAGTAAACCATGTCAGAGATTCATTATTCAGCTCTTCTAAGTGCTATAAGTATCTGCATTTTGTATGTTAATATGAACTTTCCCCCTTTGTAAGGCCTCTATTTATTCACAACCTACCTCCTCTTTCCCCCTTTGAAGGGCCTCCATCTGACTCTTGGTGGCCTGGAGTTTCCCCTTCAACTGAACGTTTTCTGTCTTGGCCTCCATCAGAAGATCCTTGCATTGTTTAAGACTGGGAAGTTCCCATCTTCTCACCTGAATAAGAAACATTAATTGATAACTTTCATACAGGTGTAATAGTTGGAAACTCATCCTCATGAACTCATCCTCAAACTGGCAAACACTTCCATGATTCAAATACGTGTATGCTGATGCCAGATTGACCGGTGATTTGTAACAAATGTAAAATTAGTTCATGAATTATAACAGTTTGAGTAACAGTTGAGTACGCATGGAGTTTTTATGTCTTAACAGCTTAACAGTTTTGCAACATATATAAAAAACATCACTGCTTTTGAAAACAAAATGGTGGTGGTGTTGTGTTGGATTTTTAATTATGTTTTTAACATGTATTTTTGTTGCCTGTTTTTAAAGTTTTTTTTCATTATAATCAGTTTGTAAATATTTTTTTCAATAAGTGTATTGAGTGTATGTTAAAAAATTACATTTGCTTCACTGTAAGAGTTACCTCTCTTGCCAAAATATTTTTATCGTCAACACATTTAATTTTGATGGATTTTGTAGTACATAATGTATTTTCTTTTAAATAAAATGAAAAACTCACGCTATATTTTTTTTCCTAACGTTTTGAAAAAATAAAAATTTGGTATCATGAACTATTGGTTATATCACACAAGTGAGTTTAACTTCTGTATCTCGAACAAAGAAATCTTCCATACCATGGATTACCGGTATATCAAGGGGATTTTGTAGTTTCAAGCAGTATTTAACTCTTGATAATTTGAATCCTTGGATATCTGTCATTTTTTAGGTCCAACTGAGTTCATTATAGAGGGATATGAATATAACTTTTCAAAAGATAAGTGAACCAAATTAGGGGTAAATTCAACAAATTATGCTTTCAATGACTAAAGATGTAAGATGTAATGTCAATACTGGATTGAGATCGCAGGTAGGTTAAGGTTACAACCAAATATTCTACTTGCCTATATGTTATGACGTCATAGTAAGCTATATGACATGAGGTTTAGAGATAACAATTTCTTAAAACTGACATCTAAGATTTGTTTGAGGTCGTAAAAATGAATCAAAATACGCAGAGGCATAATATAAACGGAATTTTGTCGTTCCTGGGCCTCTGTATTTATCACAGGGGTTACATACCAAACCCGTGACGTCATAACTGTTGATCATGCAGTAGCAGAGTGAAAGTGAAATGTAACGAGAATATTGATGTAAACAAACACAAGAAATCGGAGTTTAAAAGCATTTAGAATGAATATCATGTGTGATAATTGTGGGAATACAGCGTATGAATAAGGTATGGTAATATAATCTTGCAATTTCTTCGTAAAATTACAGCGGGGAGGGTGTTTACTTGCCGATCAGCCTTTCCTCTATCGTTCGTAACAAAAAAGATGCAAAAGTTCAACACTATACCGCATACCTTGAAACTTAATTTTTGTTTCTATCTAATGTTCTTATTCTTTTGTTTTTGGAAGGTGCTGCTAGAATCGTATGGTTTACGGGAATTGATGCTTTTTTTTCAATGTTATGAACAAAATTAAAAAATTTAGGGAAGGTTTCTTCCGAAATTGTTGAATAATTATTTCTATAATAGGACAGTACGATTCTAGCAGCATTTTTCATGGTACAGAGATGTTTTTACATAACTACTATTACAAATTGAAACTAATAATCCCCGGGGTAGTGTTAAACTTTTTCCCTTTTTCAGTAAGGCATATTTTCTAATTATAGACGCCACGAGGTGACGTCGTGGTGAAGTGCCTCCTATAGTATAAGTCCCATTGAAGTCTATAGAATGCACTATGTTTAGAAAATATTATATGATATAATGGCAATAAAACATTAGCTCATAGAAGGATCACCAATACTGAAAAAGAAAATATAAAGAAGGATCGGTAACGGCAGAGTTTGCCCCCACATTTGATCAGATGTAAAAAAAAAATTAAAACGCAATTACATTTGTCGTAGTTTAGTTTACAGCTGTGAATATCGCTTGTTTTCAACTAATCAGCAGTAATTTTTATTCAAAAAGTATGAGGGAGGCCATGAAAGTTGGACATTTTACTCATCTTACTCATTTCCGATGGGATTTCATCAAATTCTTTTAGATACATGTACTTTTCACTACCAGGATTACCTCAGATCTGTAGCTTACAGGTCTGAAAAAATTGGGATGGATGACCAGAGAGATAGAGTGCCACTCAGAGAAAAAAAGCTGTATATTTATTGCGCACAAAAAGCTGCGTTTGAGTTTGAATTTATTTCTACAGCCTCTTAAGTAAATGCACAAAAGCTCAATTTGAGAATATTCCTTGAACCTCTTTCAACTACTCTCATGTTTGATATCTGCATGATTTGCGTCTAAACGAATTACCTTGCTCCCCCAAAAAAATATAAATACATGTAGGCAAAAGTTTTGATGGCCTCAATTTCAGGCCCATGATGCTTATTCACAACGGTTATAAGGAAAGTTTTGTTGAGAAAATAGTAAAATAATAAGCTAAGAACACATGGCAAGTATTTTTTTGAAATAGCAGTTTAAAAAACACAGAGAATTAAATCAGTGCACGTTTTTGTTCGCAATAAATACACACTTTTCTCAATGGGTGGAACTGTAACTCTCCGGTTTTCACTATTTTATTTTTGCAGAAATCTGCAGTTCTGCAGCTATACAACGGACATATTTCGATCAGAAAAGCTCAAGCTTGAGCTGTAGGTTCAAATTGAAATAAGCTAAAAGGCTTATCATTGACATCCTCTACGTTTAAAAGAGATCAAAAAAAAAAGAAAAAAAAAACCCGAAAAGCTTTGGGATTTATTTTTTTTTCTGTCATATATTTTATTTGTGTTCTCTTGCAAGCGCTACCCGTGGATTAAATGGTATTTTGTATGAAAGGATTGTATAGGAACTTTTCTTTTGCTAGATTTTATTGTAATATTTTTGAAGGCTAATATTGCTATTATTGCAGACTCATTACATGCAGTTGGAAAACATTTTTATGAAATAAATCTATTAGCTTGGTGTTTAAATGACTATTCACAGAGACTGAATTACTTATACCCAGTATGATGTATTTGTGAAACGTACACTGAAGCCCCCAACTGATAGCTTATGGAGTAGGTAAAAGTTTCTTCGATGCAAGTCAAATTCCACAATGCTGTGATCAAAAACAAAATTATTGGCACGTCAAGACGCCACTGGACATGTTACATGTACAGATGGTTTTCAGATGGGATAAAGATGTAGATAAAAATGTTGATTTCAATAAAAATTCTTCCATAATGAAGCTAGCCATGATACAAATCAGTCGGGGTCAGGCATTAATTCGGTAACTCAATGAATTAAGGATTTTCCTTAGGGGAACAAGTGCAAATCAAATTACTAGTCGTCGTTACATGCTGAAAAATGTATTTGTGTCCTTGTAAAATTTATATTTATTGGTTAAACCTACAATAGATTAATGCTCAACATTCTTTTTTCCTCATAAAATGCACTACATATGTAGGTTTTATCTTTGTATCTTTCAATTAATTAAATGGAAGAACCATGATGTTTACGGTATACTCTAAACACTATCTAACTAAATATCGTCCTTCTCAAATTAGATGCTTAATAATACACTTATCTACACTCAATATACTGTAAAATCACATATTTTCGAGGGGTCAAAATTTTGTGGTTTGAGGAATTTTAATTGATTCATGGGGATTTGTTTTCGTGGATGAAAAATTATTCAGTAAGTTATTTAATATGTGAAAAATTGCATTTCGTGGTAACATAAATTCTAGGGTCTCTTCATACCTTGAAAACTCTGAAAATTAGCCCCAACAAACATAAGTGACTTGGCAGTATCTAAAACCTTAACAAGTATATATATTTATACATATTTTTATAAATATCTGGCTCTAGGAGCATCCTGTATCGTTTCTGGGAATTTTCCAGGCTGCGAGTCAGACGATATCTGTGAGTTCTCTGTTTCTTTAGAACTCTCGTTTAGTTTCTTTCTCAAAGTTGATTTCTCTGCATTCTGCTAGGAATGAATATCTAAGAACTATATGCGGTATATTGCATATCTTTGCCCCCCAAAAATTCAAATTTAAAAATTGTTGAAATGTGCTGAATTTTATAAATTGTGGGAGAAATGTAAATTAACAGATCATATTATAGTTCAAGGTACATGTAGTTTATTGACACTTTTTGTTTTTATGACGTCACAAACCAGTTAAACTTTATGTCATTTTTTAGAAAGAAGACGAAATGGACAAAATTTCAACAATTTTAGCTTTAAAATTTATACATCGCAAGTTTGCTCAGGAACAATATTTAATATTTCATTGATATTATCATTCTACACATAATATCAAAATATTGAGCCTGATCAGATCTTGGTGACTTTTACTTAAAATATAGACGTAAAATGTACATTTTTCTGTACAAAAAATGGAAATTTTAAATTTACGTCATTTTCGTGACGTCATTTCAAACATATCAGTTCATTGCTCATGAAAATATTCAGTGTTTTGAAGTCAGCATATATTCCCCTGTTTAAGAACATTATTAAATATTTCTCCGTCAAAGTTTGATTTTTGAGTGCAAATATTGGTTATTACCGAATAAAGTTCTTTCATTTTTCATTTGTGAGCTATTTTCATGTAAGGAATAATTCATAAATTAAATGAATAGTACATTTGACGTTCCAGT